CTTAAGGGCTTATTTATTTAGAATGACTTATGCCAGCAAATGTCAAATATCGCGAAGACAGTGGAACCGCAGGTTAAGGCCTTATTTATTTAGAAAGACTTGTGATAGCAAATGTCAAATTTCGCAAAGACAGTGGCGCCGCGCCGCAGCATAAGGACTTATTTATTTAGAAGGATTTATGACAGCAAATGTCAAATTTCGCGAAGACAGTGGCGCCGCAGCTTAAGGACTTATTTATTTAGAAGGACTTGTGATAGCAAATGTCGAATTTCGCAGACAGTGGCGCCGCGCCGCAGCTTAAGGACTTATTTATTTAAAAGGACTTTTTTCCAACCATATTTTAAGCCCGATACTATCATTAAACCTCTCGTAATAAGACGGAGTAACTTTTCTTATGAAGAATATAACTCAACAGAGTTTGTTAACATTAAAAAAATGTATTTTTTACGTAAGGCTTGATAGATCTACTTAGGGGTTGGACTACTACTCGGTCTAGGACTACTTCTCTGCCCAGCAGTCTATCAGTTAGGTTGGCTGACGTCTACATTCTATGCACTGCTGTGTTCCAGTCTAAAGAGTTTGAGAGCCAGTATAATTGATGAGAGGCTATGAGGCGCTCCATCTTAATCCTCAGAGGTGATAGCGCATCTGTGGCCTTCTTAGTAAGAAAGTAGGTTGAAGGTGTTCACGGGTTGCAGTAACCACTTACCATCATGTGGATTGTAAGTCCGTTTATCACTTCGATAATGTGATAAGAGCAACGGTTGGGTCGTCAACGTTTCTTAACATTTTTTTTAAAATAAAACAACAAAATTAATACAGGCCGAGAAAAAAATCAAGCAACTTTCTAAAAAATAAACGTTGTGTATATTTTTCGTAATTTTCGTGGATCTTTCAGTTTGGTATTTGATACATTATAATCAATTGAAATACTTTTAAGAGTTTCAAAACTAACATTTCATTTAATGATAACGTCACAGTTTTAATGGTCAATTTATTAGCTAATTTAAATACTAAATCATAAATAAGTTCGACTAATTAATATGATTATACTAAATATAGCAAATTCAGATTGTATGATGTAGCTTTTTGTAAGAGATGTTGCCGTGTAGCGGCCATGTAAGATGATTCACTATCTCATATGATGCGTGCTCATTCGTGTCGTAAGAGGCAACATATAGAAATGAACAGCATATGGGCAGCCGCATCTTCCGGATAACAACTCGCTATAAAAAACTGTGGTTGTCAACCCGCTTGATAAGCGTGGCAACTATGGTAAATATCCCCTGTGAAGCAATCTATTGGTGAGACCTTGTTTTGCAGTGAACTTTGATAGGATGATGGTATCAACAACCAAATTATCTAATAAACAGAACGGACTTCTCTCAACATTTATAAATACGCAATTAAACATAATAAGTTAGGATGCTGAATAACTGAATTAATCAACAATTGAATTTCGAATTAAATTTGCAAATAAAAAGGAATGGATTACTACGAAATAACTGAATTAAATCCTTCATTTGGATATCTCTGTCTTGGTCCATCTCAAAGAAACGGCCAAGAAGCTGCGAATCTTCAATTTATCTTAAAATTATACTACGAAAGAAACAACATAACTATATTAATATTTTGATTTCTTTTGATGAAATAAATTATTTAAATAGGTTTTAACAAATCGTGATTTTAATGTTGGAAATGTTTTGTAAGTACTCGTATGGATGTAATGTTGAGAAAGAAGTTTTTTTTAAGATGAAATTTGTTATTGAAAATTAACGTAAAAATTAAAACGAAAAAACATAAAGAATTTTAATTTAAAAATCTTTTTTAGTATAATGTAAATTGGTTTGAATTGTGAGAGAAATTATACTTCATACATACATAAACACTCACGCCTGTCACCCAGAGGGGTAGGCAGAGACTACAGACTTCCATTTGGCACGATCCTGACACACCTCTCTCGCATCCTCCACATCCATATACCTACGCATACATGCTCGTTGGTTAAGGGTAGGTACACCTAATGTTTCCCATTTTTAATATATCGTCAACTCGATCGATAAGCTTTCGTCTAGGATGTCCCTTCCCGACTCTGCCGTTCACTTCTGCAATACAAATTTGCTTTGTCACTCTTTCCTCATTCATTCTTTCCACATGACCCTGCGACTGAAACATTCCTTTCTTGGTCACATCATCTTGGTCACAACATCATCTTGCACACCACACATAAATTATACTTCAACAAATATATAATATAATTCTACTTTTATATAAATTTTTATCTACTTTAGAGTTTTCGCAGCTCTATGTTGCAAAAGGACTCAGACGGACGTCTGAATGGCGTCTCATTATCTTTAATTATATACCTACTGATTCCTTCGAGAAACCCGCTTTAATTATTTCAAGAGGTTAAAATAAACTTTAAAAGTAGAGCGTATGGATCAGAATAAATATTTTAAACACGCGTCGAAATATCAACTCAAAAAATATTATGTGTGTAGATGTAGCAACATACGAGTACACGCATGGAAAATTTTCGTAAGATCTTTTTAGAAATAGCCTTTGCGTAACAACATTTCAGGCTATCGAAGTTCGCTGCTGAACACAAGCCTCCTTTGTAGACTGCCTCATAGCGTTGCACAGTTTCCGCGTTTGGCAGGCACGTTGGCAACTGCAGTTTCTTTATTTGGAGGTGGTATCAGGAAGAGGCTGTTGTCCATCTCCTGATTCACCCACAGCATGACGGCTGGTGGATTGTCTTACACCACCTACACCATCAACATTTATCATTAATAATATTTATACTTGGTAGAGTCATGCTGCAGCTATATTGTGATTGCAGCACGAATGGGTCGGCTCGACCAACGCATTTGCATTTTGATTTTTAATCGAGGATAAATGTAGATGTCTACACATCCGCTTACCATCATGATGACTGTGTGCTCGTTTGTCATCCTTATTCTATAAAAAATGTTTTAAAGAAAATAGAAATAGGGATTTTTTTTAAATATTAAATACAAGGGTTAAATGTGTGGTTAATTGCTATGAGTTTGAAAAAAGTTTCTTTTGCTTCAACTTTTTTTAAATAGGATCTGATTTAAGTCGTGGGAATTCCATATTCGAAATGTTCGTTATTGATTCGATCGAATATTGCTTTTTTTTAATTTTTCGTTTCTTAATACGTCTGCTAGGGTCGTCTTGTTCTATTGTCTCTTACGTTAATAATAGAAAAATATAAGGAGTTGTTGATGAAAATATCGATGTAAAACAACCCAAGGATGTTTCATTCAAATCTAAGTTCGTATAATACTTTACGATGTCAATTATCATGAAAAACATTGAAAAGAACATAACAATGACAGTAAATTGGGTATTTTTAGACCTTTTCAAATAGTCTCTCACTTAGGCGGGAAAGGGGAAACGGGGGTAAAAAGTGTAATTATGTTGATTATTTAGGTCGTAATGCGCCGACTATCCCGCGGCCCCCCCTTTGGCGTCATTAATCGCCTCCCCACCTTCCCCCCTCTTGCTCCCTTTATTATTTCGTTTCAATTATTTTTGTGATTATCTTTTTATAGCGGGCGCGCATTAAAACTCAAAAAATAACAGGGACATTAAACATAATTAGAATCGAAATAACGAGACGTCTCAACAGTGCCGCTCTTTGCGCCTTTTTATGGTGGGACTTAATCACATTACTTGGCAGTCCTTTACCAGTGTTGGTCTACGCTTTATATTAACATAACATTTCCTTTGACTTGTAGATTTCTCAAAAACAAACGGTTACAATTTATTTGCTCTAAATTATTTTGTAACTATTTTGGATATTGTAGTCATATTTTTTAAAATATAAATTGAATTAAAATAAATATAATATCGTCCTAATAGATATACTCAATTGTATAATATGAAATTTATATAGTAATAATATATAGTTTAATTTTTATCCGACTTCCTGAGAGAGAATCAAACAGGAGATGGTTCTCAGTTTATCTGTATGTTTTTTTTTATAAATTCCACACGATATCTTCGCGTATTGATTTTAATAATTCTTCGTTTTTAAGGCCTTAAGAATGAGTAGTGGAAAGTTTTCTAAGCTTAAGATATTCTTTGGCTAAAAAGTACTAAATTACTATAAAGAAAAATAATAAAATGATTTTCATATAATAGCTTCTGAATTCGCGGGCTTTCATTGTTACATATATTATACCTTAGCACTTCATATGAAAACCACAAAGAACAGTTGTTTTGTTGTTTGTAGTTTATTGATATAAACTGTGATGACGAACTTACACCCCATCTGATGAAAAGTGGCTGCTGCAGCACATGGGTATCTGAAACCAACTTCACACGAAGAATCCCACAGATAGTAGCCTTCTTTATCTGAACGATAGCTTTAAGTTTTTACTTTTGTTTAAATTTCTACGACAAGAGAACAGATGTACTCGCAAATGTTTGAATTGTAAATTTAGAAGTTTATTCTTATTCAATATTGTTTTACGTTGAGATGAATGAAAAATGAAATCTTGGTACACACTCTTGGTAGTACGGTCAGGCTCTATGATTGTCTGATTGAAAAAAATCTTTCCAAAAACGCTGAACATCAACTATATAATACACTGGTTGATAGTACAAGGAATTCTCGACTCTGCAATAAAAATTCGTCTCCTAATTTATTGCCATGTAACACCATAATTGCGTTTTCTTTAAAAAGCCTACGTGTAACTTATGAACAATTGACATTATTGCTAAAGAAACGAGATCCATCAGGTTCAAATTTTCTTTGATTTTTATATTATATATGTTTTAATACGAATGTATTATTCTTTCTTCAGGGTAAAGCTTTGTTTTGTTTATCACAATGTAAGAGTTCTTTTGTTTAATTATTAGTTGCTTGTTTATTATTTGTGTTTCATTAGCCAGTTATTTCATTTATTATAATATACCCTAATATTTAACGCATTATAATATTATAACATTAATAACATTTTTGTTGTCAGGTTATCACCATGCGGATCTGAGTGAGAATTTTTATTATATATCTACTTTATTTTTACTTTCATACAAAATAGTTTTTATTTGCTTTATTTTATTTTAATCTGTATTTAAAACATCTGTAGGAAACAGACGAAAGAAAATTAAACGAGGAAGTTTTTTTTAATTATATGACATAAAAGCTTTAGTTTGATTGTACCTTTGTCCATCTTCCTGATCTCAGGTAGCGCTGTGAAATGTTAGTCGTTATAGGCACACATATTCACCCATTCAATACCAGACGTTTTTATTTCTATGCTAACAGCAGTATTATAATACATAATTATATTTAATACTAAGTTGACGCGTGACTATTAACAATAGAAGTTGGATTTGCCAACCCTTTCATTCAAATCACTAATGAAACCCTACGCGTTCGTACGATATATTACCTTATATCTACTGACATAAAGTTAATATTTAGTGAAGCTCCGATCTTTAATGTATATTATTATTATGAGCGTTTATGGATGAGCAATTTTTATGATTGTACACGTATTGTGTTTAGTACAGATGTTAAGTTATCGTGAAATAAATCGTTAAAAATCTCTTTGATCGTACGCGGGAGCACGAATTCTGTGGAGCGTTCGATTGCCCACCGTCCCCGACTTGCGCATAAAATTTTTAATTATGCTATTGTTCTTACTAGTAGGAACATAGACTATAGAAAGTTATATTATATGTTAAGGTGAAACTTGAAGGCGAGTGCGCTTGCGTATTATACAAAAGTACTATAAGAACTTTTCTTTAGGTAATATTTTGTTGGAGTCTGCAAAATCATTGAGAAGACAGAAATAATTTCATTGAAAAATTAAGGACATTGGAAAAAATCATTTAAATATTTTTTTTAGAAAATGTTTATAGCCCAAGTCGATGCTAGATACCGCCAAAACTCCGGATGTTAGTCATAAAAAGATAGGCTTTAAACAAGACGCCAAGTCTTGCAAAAAGGCATTACGGCAAGCCTGTTTCGACAGCATTAAACGCATCGTTGCAAAGCTCTCTGTCAAAACATCTGGCAGTAGAGCTCTTTGGTCTCTCGCCAAAGCGGTCGAAAAAACTTCTGCCAGTCTACACTGCCTCTACTGGTAAAAGCAGATGACTCACTGGCGAATACGGCTAAGGAGAAAACGGACTTCTTTGATTCCTTTTTGCTTGCAATTCGCGTCTGGACAGTAGCAACAGCGGTACCTCTATGTCAGAGGTTCGTATCAACAACAACCTTGCGAAATCTAGACTGAACAAAACTAGTGGACTTGATGGTATACCAAATATAACATCAAGTCAACTAGTTTTGTTCATTTGAGTTATCTCCTGTATTGACGCGTTTGTTTCGCCTGTCATTCAGGACTGGAATGGTGCCCAAACCTTCGAAGCTAGCCAATGTGCAGCCTGTGCCTAAAAATGCAGTCGTGTTGATCTTGCCAGCTATCGACTAATTTCAATTACCTCCAAACTCTGCAAGATTATAGAGTGTATATTAAACGCCCACCTCATGACACACCTAGAGCAGTATGATCTCCTCAGTGATCGTCGGTACGGGTAACTACGAAATTTATGAACTTTACTTCTAGCCTAGCGGACCGTCAACGTATGCCACTCACATATGGAGTGCTTCGAGCACAGTGGAGAAGCACTTGCTATTTCCCTTGATATCTCGAAGGCCTTTGACAGGGTTTGGCACGCTAGCTTTTTGGGCAGACTTTCAGCGTATTATTTCAGCGCTTATACCTTGTCCAGCGAGACTGAAGGACTTTCTGAGTAAATGATCTCTCTGAGTCGTCATCGATGGTCGGAGTTCCTCAGGGGTCCGTTTTCTACACTACTCTCTTCTTGCTGCATGTTAATGAATAATGATCTAATTTTTCCTGGTATCTATGGGTATACAGACAGAAGGGGGGTAGGAATTACAGTAGGGATTCAGTCTGAACAAGAAGCTATGGTCGAGCGTACGATTCTCTCACACCAGACAGTCTCTGAATATGGTGATGCCAATCTTGTGTGCGCAGGAATTATATACTTTAATTCCTCCCTCTCCTTTCCACCATTGGACAATAATAAAGATAAATTAATTATACTTATTACAAAGTGACAGAGTACAATCTGACAATCATTAATAGTTTCTACCAACGGATAGTTTTTTAAATGAACATGAGCAAGGTCATGTTTATGTCACACCTATAGCCTTGTACTTTATGGAAGGACTACGTTCAAAGTTGTTGACAAGTAAGTTTACCTAGGACAAATTGCCCGAGTAAGTAAGTCTAACTTCAAGCGAGAGGTCTCAACGGATTCAACTCGGCTGAGCAGCGTATACCTCAAAAATTGAAAATAAGATTGCAAGATACATGTGGCTAGTGATGGTATATTGTGGATCTGAGACGTGGTCGTTAACTGTTGACCGTATGAGAAGGATCAAGGTCGCTCAGCCAGATATGGAGAGGGCTAAACCCGTAGTTTCTATGCATAATCGAATTAAAAAAAATGACAAGATATAACGCTGATAATGATAACTCATCAGTCCTTATAATTCCAACGCTGGACAAATGCAGCCACAAGATGATAAACCGGTTTTAGAATTTGCCTAAATCATCACATTGGACTGAGTGATTTACCATCACATTATTGAACGTTTCGTACTTTTGACGCTGCCGTCGCCAGATTTTACGTCTGACGTAAACGTTTATTGGACTGACATATGTCTCTAAAGATAAAAGCCCCAAAAAAGTAGAAAAAAAAACGTAAACATTGTGGTTATACCACCGTCTATGAGAAATGTCTCTGGCATACTCTATAGTCGTCACTTGATTGTGTTGGTGATTGATTCCCCTGCGTTGCCACCAAGGTTCAAATGATGATGATAATGTAGCTATGTATGTATCTATTAAAATATCTAATAATAAGAAAAAATACATATATAAACATATATAAACCTTTATATCTGTCACCTAGAGGGACGGGCAGAGACTAGAGACTTCTATTTGGCACGATCCTGATGACGGTTAAGGGAACTCCTAATTTGGCCCGTCTCCTTATTAGAATGATTATAGTATAAATATAAGTAATGCGTCTTACAAAATAATAAGGCTTTTTTAACTTTAAAGTAGAACTTTTTCATATTTGAGTTAAACGGAGTGTAAAATTTATTTATCAAAAAAATTTAATTATCTTTAAATTAAAAAAAAAATTATTTGTGTTAATTTTTTTAAATTTTTACGGGATATCATTTTAATTTATGTGCTGCTAATTATCATAAAATGAAAATAATGCAATCCGCAAACACACAATTTAATTTTGAAACGTAGTGATTTTCGCGCGAAACGCTCGCAAGCAGCCCGTTGAATGATTAAAGCGCGAATGTAAGTAGCGCTGGAAACAAATGTGCGGTCGCAGGGCAATGGCGGTGCACACGTGGCCGCGGCGCTCTCCGCACCGCGAACACCCGGAACCTGCGTATCGCATCCATATAACACACCCCTACTTTTTGCACTCTCTTCACTTCAATTACGCTTTCACGTTAAATGTCGTTACGAATTAAGAGTATGTATCCATAATATAATTAATGATCTTTTGCCAACTTTGAGTGGATTTAAACGATAACGATGAAGAAATATGAGATGAATATTAAATATCATTCGTTTCTTCATCGTCTAAAATTCATCATATAAAATTTAATTAAAATTGTTAGAAGAATAAATTTCATGTCAAAAAACTAAATTATTGCAATAAACAACAAAAAAAATCTCAAACAAACTTAATGTTCACCAAAAGTAATTGTCATAACTTCAATTTTCACGAGGTTTTACCTAATCACAACTCTGTGTCGCTATATTATATTCACGGCAAGTCTTACTTACCTAATGGACATAATACAAAACAATCTCACAACATGATCGTATGCCGTCTTGATCTCGACAGCGAGACAGGATCGGGTGGCGTTAGTGGCGGTGGTAGTGGCGTTCTGTACACAGAGCGCGCGTACGGAAAATTGAAAGTGACCGTACGAAAACACGGTGGACAAGCATTGATGTATCTGTCCATCTATTATTATATTTAGCTCGTAGCCGGGCCTCGGTGAAAGCGAAACTGATTTCAATTGTTATCCCACTCGACCGTTAATTGACCGATATTTGTAAACGCTCGCGGGTTCATTTTGTTTTAATCATGCACTAGTTTACTGTTTTCCCGCGCTTTCCGCATAATTTTCATTCCGAATTGCGAGACCATTGTTTAGAGTTGTAATGCAGAATGATGCGCTGTGTTATTGAGTCCAGCTGTGAACTGTTAGTTATGTATTTTAAACTCTTATCGTCATCATCTTATAAACGGTTTGGTGCAGTTCATAGGTATTCCCAAAACTTGCAAGAGACGAGCTTATTGACCATCGCAAAATCAGACACCATGACCGCCTGACCTGCCTGCCATGCCTGAATAAAGTTAAGAATGAGGTTTTGTGAGGCAACAAAACATCTCCCGACATGGCCTAGACCCCGCTTCGATTCGAGTCAAGGGCACATTTGAACTTAAGTACTTGGTGAATTACCATGCATTAAGTGTTTTTAAGGGTGACAAACGATCTACAGTCACCCGATGGAATAGATGCTGCAGTCCATGGACTCTACATATATCCTCAATTAAGAATCAAGATGCGTTGTCACCCCTGAGGACTAAGATGGAATGTGTCGTTTCCAGTAAAAAGGATCTCCGGTTTTCTACGCCCACCATATTAAACACGTAGCATCAAGCTGTATTTAACACTGGTATTCTGTGAGAGTGTGGTCCTTTCCCTGTCGAGCCGACACATATTATGTACGTGCTATAACCATTATGTAACTGCAGCGTGGCTCTTCCATAAATCTACGAAGTTTTTAGAATTTATTGTAGTGATCAAAATCAATTAAGATAATATGCCTAAGAGATTAAAAAACAGTGCGGTACCTGCATAGGTAACTGATGTTCACCCTTTTGAATTTTATTCGCAACTCACGTAC